ATATATAAAGGTGTTCATGCTAACCACTGGACCACTGTCGTTGTGTTATTACAGTGGTTCAGGCGTTATCAGGCCTTGGATACAGTAAACAGCCGCATAAAAGAAACTGCAGATTAAGAACTTCCAGGCTGAAATTGGACCAATAAAGCACCTAGTATATAAGAACCACTTCAGCCTGATAAATTAAGCAGGTTCTTATATGAAGAAAATACCGTACTGTCTACTATTAGTCAAATCAATTTTCACAGCATTTGACCTTTCATTGTGTTTAATATGATAAGTAAATTAACTCAAACATGTCAAATGAATTTAAATAGACATATAATTTCTAATATTATGCAGTTGGTTAATTAATTAGTGTCAATTATTCACTAATTAAAGCCAATTTTACCTAGATAATGTACACAATATTCCCCCCCCCCAAATTAAGAACTTCTTTAAGACCCTCTTCAGGCTGATTTCTCACTATGTATCATATATATAAGAACCACTTCAGCCTGAAACAGAAAATCACGGGTTCTTTTATGCGGGTGTTTGCTGTATATGGGCGCATCAATTAAACAAGATATGCCTGTGAAAAGATCGCGAAAAGGACTCGAGATGTCGAATTTGGGGGGTCAAGGGTCAAAGGTCAAGGTGTGTCAATGGAGGGGGAATATTTCCCCCTTAACTTAAGGTATAGGAGGAAATACGGAATTGCGGCACAAATCTCAACGGCTTGACCTACGCTCTTAATATTCGATGTATAGTGTGATGGGGAGGAAACCCATCACCAGCGCGAAATTGGAGGTCACAGGTTAAAGGGCAGTGGGGTAAGGTCAGATATCAGACATTTTCTGAGGTCATGGTCTAACGGACCGAGTACAAAACTTGCTTGTTTCAGCGCTAACCTACCATTTTTATCACTTTATTGAAAGGACCTTGAAACGTGCTTTCCGCTGACGTGGGAAGAGTAAGTGTCTGATAACCTTTTGACCCTCAAGAGGAGGGGTAAACACGGATTTGTTGACTGTTAGCAAAGAACTGAACTGCTTTTGCTATTAGAGCCCCCTTCCCCTTCCACCACTACCCTCCTCCCACCACCACAACTACTACGCTCGCGCTCGACGCATATCCATGATAACATGTTAATATAGTGAAGTCATTAAAGTTACACAGCTGTATCTTTATTACTGTACTACCGGTATAGCAAAGCCTATCATAGATTTTAGATCTGTATTAGTAGTATCCTGAGTACATAAGAGGAGATCTCCTAT